AAATATTGTCCGATCCTAACAAACCATACATCAATGGAAAGCTCAATTATTCATCTCCCTAACCCTTCTGACTGGTTTTGTGCTGCAGGGTCACCAGCTGCAGTGTCCTGGTTCACTGCAGACTATTGACACTCTGTCATTGACTTCATTCCCCATAATCCTTTGCACAGCCTCATCAGCACTCATTGTTTTGAATCAGAAGAGCAGTGACTGCTGATGTGGCTGTGGCTCTGCTCACCCTTGAATATGTTGTAGGTGTTGACTCCGGCGCTGGCTGTCATCAGCGGACACTCTCTCTCGCTCGGACAGTGGAAGAGCTGGCAGCTCAGATCTCCAGGTTCATACACCACCAGATTACACTTCAGCCCTGTGAGAACATCACAGCTCGTCAGCAGAGCGCCGCATGAACAGCACTCATGCAGTGTGTTTGTGTCACACCTGAACCGATGTCCTCCGAGCAGCAGGTTAGGATGCAGTCTTTCTCTGACAGCTTGGCTCGGGCCACCATGACGGTCCCCTTCTGATCCAGAGCCACACGCGTGTTTACAGCGGCGTCCCGATGCTGCCGAGAGTAGCACATCTCTCTGTCGGGGTCCGGGGTCCCGCCGCAGACGTGCAGGACACACAGCAGCAGAACACAGCCGAGGAACATGACGTGATGTCTGAGGAACACCGAGCAGAAGAGACAGACCTGCACACAGCAAACCAGTCCACAATCATGTTATCTGTTCAAGACCGTTCATTCACAACAGGACCAATGATCACATCTCTCATACGTGACTTCTTCTGGATTCACAGACTTGTTCTGAACGCTCGGAAGCAGAGATCATGAGCGAGTGATGAATGCAGCATGATGCAGAAACTGCATGCATTTGTAATGTGCTGTGATGATGATGTGGTGCTGATGCTGCTCTGGTCGCCATGGAGACTGAGCATCACTGGAAGAGTGTCCGGTGTGTGTGGGCCATCATCGTGATGCAACCCTAATGAAACACAGAACACCTAAAAACCACCATCAGCCCAGATATCTATTACTAAAGCCACGTTAGCTGCTTTAAAGAGTGAGTGTCACGTTCAGGAAATGAATTACTGGTTTAATCATCGACACGATCAACAAAAGAGTGTCACACATGTCCCGTTATCCGCGTCGACTAAACCCAGAAACCGAGCGAAGAATCACACGGAGAGAAAAAGATTCGATTCACGAACACAAACACATTCAGACGCAGTATCGCTTCGATCTGAGCTCAAACACCTACCCTGAGATCAGCCGCTGCTGTGACCCATTTCTGCGTCTTTGTCCTCCGCTGGATGATGATGATGATGCTGTCTCTCGTTCACACAC